AAAAAAAAAAAAAAAAAAAAAAAAAAAAAAAAAAAAAAAAAAAAAAAAAAAAAAAAAAAAAAAAAAAAAAAAAAAAGAAAAGAAAAGAAAAAACTGGCTTAGTCATCAAGTAGCTGCCAAGGCATCTCTACTTCCTGCCGAAATTTCAAATCCTCCCACCTTTGTAATGTAATAATCTCAAAACTACGTTAAAAGGTGAAGAGAGTTATCAAGCTTTTGCCTACCTTCTCCCCAAGTTTAAATGCTGGAAGACCCTTGTATGGGCATGTACTGCACCGAAAAGCGTCTCCGAGTCCACACTGAAAGTTGTATTGACATTAGCATGCAGACCCAATAAATAATAAGGTAGATGAATTGCAAGTGAAAGCAAAGAGACTGAACAGAGGGGCATAACATTAGTGGCAGAAATGAATAATCTCTCTTTCCATAAAAACATGAGGATAATCCAATTGATGCCATTTTTAAAATCATGAAGTAAATAGATTCTATCCATAAAGAAAATATGAACTAGATTTAAAATTATGAGCTTTTGTTACCAACAAATCTGTGGTCAATTAAGTATTTTACTTACACTTCCACATGCAGATTGAGGATTTTCCAACAAATCTGGAGTCAATCCCAGTTTTTCTACTTTCTCCTCTGCTTCAGCCCTACCACAAGAGCAGTTCTTGCAAGCTTTCCTTGTGCTGCCAACTTCACAGTCACCAACTGTACAACAAATCGAACAATAAATGGTAACCAACATTTCCTTCTACTAAATAAAATTCAAATATCATATATGTCAATCATTTCATTGTTTACCTGACGGCAGCTGGGGTTTCTTCAAATCCTCTTCAGTCAATAAACTATCTTCATCGATCAAATCAGAATCATCATCAAGCTGAATCTTTGGTAAGCTTTTTGCAGACTTCTTAATAGAAAAAGAGGAGCCAATCTTCCAAGAAGGCTTTTTCGCTCTTATCTACGTACAAAAAAGGTGCAGAAGTAATATAGAATGCTACTTACAAGAAGTCAAAACAGAATTAACGTGAATTTGATAAAACCAAATGGTTAAAGTTAAGGAAATCCTGGAGATGAGATGCCTTGCAACCATCTTTACATTGAGAAGTTGATGGAAGCAACATGAAATAAAGTATTTGGTCATAAATTACCAGCCATTTTCAACATTTCTAAAATGTAGGATAGTGGTTCCGTCTGTGGGGTAGAGGGGGCTGTCTAAAGACTCTAAACTAAATGATATCTGAATCTTACCACGAAATTCTCTATATCAGATGGAGAAGCTAATTTCTTCTCTGTTACTTGAGCTTCTAGAAAGCCTGTCAAAAGTAATCTTCTCACCATAGCAGAGGACTTCAAAAAAAAAAAAATAAATAAATAAATGAGGGTAATAAATCTGTATCTGAATGAATGTTCCAAATGTAAAAAATTATCAGCTATTCAGTAATTACCTCATCTTTCTCAACTGCAACAGATTGTGAAGTCTTGTAAATAAGGATCGTCCCATCAGGCTTCAGAACTCTTGAGATTTCCTCACACAACCGATCACTTGGAAAATCAGATCTACAGATAGAAATGACAACATCCACGGATGATGCTCCGAGAGGCAGCTTATCTATCATAAATCAACAACTATCAATAACACACTCATTATATCACGTGAATCTATCAACTCCTCATGTGCATGAGACCAAGAAAACACATAAGAACAAGGAGTAAATTTGGAGGGTTGAAAATTAAAAGTAAACCATCACATTAAGTTAGCAGATAACTAACAAAATGCAATGAAAAAGTTGGACTAACAGGGAGTGGAAACTGCTAAAAACAGTCTGCATGAAAGCTATCACATGAGACAAGAAATCTCGTCTCTGAAGACACTGACCACTGGTATTTATTTTTAGCTACTCCGAAAGCTATGGCTTTCAGGATTACCGAAAGAGTTTGACACACATGTAGAGTGTGTATATATTTGTTTTAATTTTGAGTGAAAATATAGAAAAGGAGCTGACATCATTCTCGTTTTATCCTTCCAAGTCACTTATCAGATATCAGTAAGGCTGTTTATTTTGAGGAAACATAATATTTCGTTAAAATAATGAAATAAGCCAGTGTCGGTAAGTTCATGTCATCACTATAACACCAATTTACAACCTTCAGCTTTCAAAATGAAATGCAAACTGCACAAAACCGTTGAACTAAATATCAAATTGATCGAAGTGTTGACTAAACAGCCCATGAGAAGGCATTAAAAAACTTACTTAGAGAAAAGGCTTGAGTGATTATTTGTGAATCACAGTTTTCAACATATTCATTCCCAAGCTCTTGTGAAGCATTAATAACAACGCTTGTAGCCAGAACGGCATCATCGGTAATTGCCAGCACACTCTTCATAGTGGTTTCCTACAATCACGAAGTTGTGTACTTCATTCACGTAAAGGAAGAGGTGGATTAAACTAAGAAGAGAATGAATCCCATAACTTCACAGCATAAACAAGAGAAACTTAGAAGAATAAGCAAAACCAACTTCATCTAGCACATCAACAATTATACTGACGAATAGTCTATACTTCATGAAAAATATATTAAATTTGGAAAACTCTGAAGAACTTATAAGTTGTCAATGAAAAAGACTTATTTGTGCTTTCTCTATGGTGCAAGGCCAAGATCGTTTTTTCTCTAATATGAGTTTGCTCTTAATTTACATAGCAGGTTCCCATAGTGGTTTGATGTTTGCTTGTCTTTCCAAGTGATCCTAAATCCTTTTCATTTTCTAGAAACGTGTGGAGTTTCTATAGAAGTATGGAGGATTTCTAGAAAGGGATAGTCTCAGTCCACCTTGAGAAGTTTGCAAAAGAAACACAAACAAGACAATTGAAAAGCGGATTACGACAATTTCTGTATACGATGGGATAAAGCCATTAAATACAGGAATCGTCTTCTTTTAGCATTCTCCATGTAATTGAGATGGTCACAGTTTTTACAGTTTTATTGCTCAGTCTCTATTCATCGATAGGATTTCTTGGCTCTGTAGATTTCCATTGGAGGAGACGACTCTTTGGCATAAATCAAAATCAGTATGATGTAATACGCGTACCTACAATTGGGTTTCCATTTGTTGATCCTCATCTGTGTTGAAAACCCCCTGGGAAATTGATTGTCATTCTAGCAATAAGTGAGGGGACTTGTGTTTGGAAGGATCCCTAAACTTAATCTAAAACTATCATTCATCCCAAAATTACCTTACAAATATGGTTTTTTTGTGAGTAAGCTAATAGTTGACTGGGATGAGGAGGCAATTAACTGATTACAAGTAATAAAACGTATCATTAGATATGATTTGTTCATTTTTTTAAGACCGTGAAATCATCATAGTCAATAAAAGTTAACCTCCAAAAATAGATGCACATTAGTGGAGACATATATGCAAAAAATCCTCTCGTGCCAATATCAGGTGATATGTAACAAATCAGGGAGGTTTTTGGAAAGGCCTCTTTGCTTTTTCACCAACTTTTCCTAGACTCTACAACAATGTTTTTGTTGGAACCTTACTGAAAGAAAGAATTTAAAAGATGATGAGTCCAGAGGTCGTCTATTCCTTAATTGTTACTTCAACTCTCGCTTCTGGGGTATAGGCTACCTTCCGAGGCCTTTCGCCCTTATACAAGAAAAGGGAATTAAGAACTTGTGGCTCAGCATTCCAAGGACCTTCGTATAGGGGAAGGGATATGACTTAGAAACAAAATAACTTGAGAGAAAATTTTGCAGCCCATTTATTCTGAGTGTATGATCCCTTATCTGATTACAAAAGTGAAATTCTTCAACTAAATGTTCATCCGAACAACCCAATGGAGAAAAACAGAAGAAAAAAAGCAAAAAAACCATCCCATACACAAATTATCTACCATATCAAACAAACACAAATTCCAAATAATTGCATATCAGCTACTATTCCATTGAATCAATCATAAGACGAAGAAGCTGAAATTAAAAGAAAGACAAAGAAATGAGATAATACCGAAGAGAAATAGCGGGCTGGCGGTGGGCGAGAGATGAAAAGGCAGGACTCAGAGAGAAAACCGCGAGAGAAACGACCATAAATATGCTTGGGCAAAAAGCTTCCGTTACTTTTTGGGTATAAATAATGGGCCGAAGTAGAACTGTACACAGATTGGATTGGGTCAATTTGGAGAAATTTTACGAATCAACCCAAAAATAGGTGGGTTTGGGGGCAGTTTATGAACCCTAATAAAACAAGCTACGACATTTACGATAACAAGATGAAGTCACAAACGGAAGAAAGACAGCGGCGGCAGCACTGAACGGAGAGAGAAGGCGGCGGCTTCGCTGAACTGCTGTAAGGGAGGCGAGGAAGATCCGGCGGGAAGGAAGATTTGAGTGCGTTTATTTTATTAGCTAAATTAATGAAAATACAATTAAACCTTTTCAAAATTTAAAAAAATAATAATTTATGATTCTTTGTTTTTTTAATTTCTTTAAAGTATTTTTTAATTTTTTTAAAAAGTTAAAAAGTATTTTGAAGTTCAAAGTATTATTGAAACAAATTACTGACCCTTTCGGTCCAAAATTTGAGGGTAATATTGAAACTTTTAAAATTTGAAGGGGTATTCTTTTAGGCAAAAGACAAACTTTAAGATTATTTGATCTTCTGCTGTGATGCGTTCGATGATATGTTTGAGATAGGATATGAGATTGATGCGATAAACGTAATGTAATGATATGACTAAGATATGTTCATGAAGCGATATGGTTAGGTTATGTATGGTAGGTTGATAAAACAATATAGCTAGGGTACATTCATGAAATGATATGACTAGGATATGTTCTTGAAACGAGATGTTAGGATACGTTTGGAAAACAATATGATTATGATATATTCATGAAACGATACAACTATGATTTGTATAAGAATGATAAGACTTTGACAAGTTTAGAAAACGAATGACTATAATATGCTTATGGAATGATATGACTATGGAGTGTTTACAAAATGATATGACTATGATATGTGAATGATATATATGTTACGATATATTTGATGATTTGATATGATTATGATATATTATGTGAATGACATGATATATGCTATGGTACGACGTTTGAAGATACGACGCACATTGTGATAGGCTTTATGACAAGATACATTGGGAGATACGTTATGCTTACGTTATAATGCACGTGACATGGTAAAATATGCAATATGAATGATATATACATTATGATATGATTGACATGCGAACGAAAAATTGACATATTATACAATCTCGATATACGCATGGAAGATATGATAAATAATACGATAAAATAATATGATATGAAGGAAGACGCAAACAGGGTTACATTATATGATAATGAAAATAGAAAAATGTTGGGACCTCATGCATCATTGTGTGTTCATGCATCGGGGGATACCTCTTACTATGGTATGAACGCATACATTACGAGGTACAAAAACGATCATAATACTGCTATGACGACCGCTATTTCTAACAAGTGGCCACAGCTACTAGAAAATGCTCGCCCGACCAGGAAATGGCTCAGAATGTATGTAAACCGACTGGTGGGTCCATACTGGCACGTGTGGACCGTGTGTAGAAATTAGTACACATTCAATTACCCTCTTAAGATAGTCGTCATAAGAAAATAGACTGATATGATATGTCTCATTTATGATTGTATGTGTTTGTATTTAACCCGTAACTCGAGACCATAACACATACATAGGGTAGATGTATTTACTTCCTTAGAGTTAGGCTAGAATATGATGTTTTTGGCTTAAGTGTTTATTTATTTTTATTTAGTATTTCATTGTGTCGTTTTAAAGCTGCTTTCGAACACGTAAGTTCAAGATAGTGTTTTGAGATGAAATTTATGTTTTATGACGGCAACCGTGTTTACACTATTAGTATTTTTATTTAAAAAATACCCATTTAACTTTTAAAATAAAGGTATTTTTTAAACTCTTTTAAATTATTTTTTAAACAAAATAGTAAAGATTCTCTTTGAAATGAATTTGGTATTTTATTTTATTTTTTTTAATTTCAAAGTATTATTGAAACGGTTGAGAGTAAAAAAAAAAAAAAAAAAAAAAAAAAAAAAAAAAAAAAAAAAAAAAAAAAAAAAAAAAAAAAAAAAAAAAAAAAAAAA